CTTCATAAACAATTGCCAAAAAACGATTTTAATGTTGATTCTATTATTAATGGCATATCAAAATTCTCCTCTAGAACAAAAAATCATTTTGCTAGTTCTCTTTTAATAATTAAAAGGTGATTGGATGTTTTTTTTGTGTGTGTGTGTATTTTGGTATTGTAGTAATATTCTTTTTAACATCAAAATTGCAGTTGAAAGTGAAATACATAATTGATGTTTACAAAATTTAGTAGTAGTAGGCCTGGCCCTACCATATAGTAAAGTTTTCTTAATTGTGCGGACGATACCTCAAAAACCAGCTCAAATTTGAGCATAAATTCACTAGGAAAATATGTGCGCAGAAGTGTAATTACTGCATAATAATACATTATTTATGTAAGATCAGGTCAAAGCATAATGTTTGGTGAAATCTGCGCAGAACTCAGTTTTATTTTCAGAAATGCGTGGGAAGATTTCTAGGCCAAATTTTTTCGTGGAGAATATATCCCCCAAGCAGGTCTATACTCTACTGACAGTCTGGTAGTAAGTAGTATAATTACAATTAAAATACAATGATTTAAGCAATCAAACAACAATTTAAAGAAAAATCGTATATGTGTGAAACAAAATTAGAATTTACAGTAATTAAGAATTAACAGTAAAATAACAGTTCCATAAATTTGATGAAAATATTAATAAAATTATTATGGTACATAAAATAAATATGAAAAGTTCATGCAAATTTTGCAATTCAAAATAAGAAAGGATTCTGCCATAAATCTGGAAAAAGCCTGGAATATTTCAATTAATTATCACTGAATGGATGGATTAGAATCAATAATATCTAATCAGAATTAAGAATTCATTTAAGACTGGCGTAACTATAGCCACTGCCTTAAAAATAGGCCTGCAATGTCGTAAGAAGCTCTGATAATAATAATAATAACAATAATAATAATATTAATAACTATCGTGCGCTTGTACTTGGTGCATGAAAATACTCGGTACATTCAGTTTCACAACATGCTATCAGGTACCCATTTATACTCCTGGGTAGAGGGAGACAAACGTGGATAAAGTGCCTTACCCAGGAACACAAGCAACTTGCACAGCAAGTCTTTCTAACCCCTGACCTCAAGGCTGGGCGTCCAAGCCACAACCGATGCGCCAACTGCTTCTAGTGTGCTCTCTTGAATAGGAGTCGACTGTAGAGTAAGGTTTCAAATAGGTGTCACCATAGATGTGTCTGATTAAATAGGGGTGTCCCAAAGGTGAGATAAATTGTGACAACAAGTAAGTTGCTACAGTAAAAACTCACCGGTTGTACATAATTTTTTTTTGTTTCTGTGCAGGTTTATATGGAAATAATGGAATTCTACCAATCAAGAATAGACTCTTAGAAAGTCTTAAAGGTTCCAGAACACCAGAAGATGCATTTTACGAGCGTCCCACTTTACTGTTGCTTGTTTACCGCATTGGCTTAGACTACGAGTCAGGCTTTGAATTTATATGCATTCTTGGTATATTGTGCTCATTCATCTGTATGGTGTCAAAAATGCTTCGAGACAGTTTCATGTTCGCTGTCCTGTGGTTCTTGTACCTTTCAATCTATCAGGTAAATAAATACAGTATGTAAACTTTGCTTCGGTTCATCTTGTTTATTGGGTTTTTATGACATCGTATAAATGTTTCTTATATTCCAGGTCAAATCAATATGAGATGTTGCAGGTGGTTGGACATAATAGGTGTCTTGCACCCACCTGTTTCAGTCTTCTTGCCAGGTTTTAATTGTGGCGCAGACAAGCAAAACCAGTCACTCTTCGCAAAATGGTGTTTTGGAGATAATGGCCAAAACATGCTAAAATGTCAAAATTTTTGAAATCTCTTCTTTTTTTTTGTTGATAAACTAACCTTTATATATATATAATGTATGTGGCAAAAATCAAGCCAAATTGGTCACTCATTGAAAATCTTGTTTCAGAGATAATGGCCAACACATGCTAAGATGTCAACATTTTTGAAATCTATTCTATTGCACTAAACTAATCTTTATATCTATATATGCTGTTATTTTCCCCATTTTTAAATGTTAAACAACAATTTTTAGCAATTTAGTGATGGTCTCTGACTGATAAATGCCCGAAATCATAAACTTTGGAGGCGTTTATTTGAATAAATACGGTATTTACCATATCTATCATTAAATAAATGCTATTTATTTTTTTACATTTTTTTCTTTGAAGGTTGGCCAAACATTTATGTGGTTCCAATGGGATATATTGCTTCTTGAGGCTGGCTTTCTGACAATCATTGTAGCGCCTATGAATATGTTCAAGTCGCATGACCCAAAACCAAGGCAACATGATGCTATCACAATGTGGCTTGTGAAGTGGTTGTTATTCAGGTTGATGTTTGCTTCTGGTATTGTCAAACTGACGAGTCAGTGTCCCACGTGGTGGGGACTTACTGCCCTGGACTGGCATTATGAATCACAGGTGAGAATAGAATGTCTTCTGAACTGATTGTACTATAAATAAATCTGTGGTTTTGTAAATTCAGATGCTCTTTTTTAAAATCTCAGGGTCGTCCACCACAATTATCATCATCATCAGCAGCAGCATCATCAACAGCAGTTGAGCATCATTATCATCGCTATCATCATCATTATCATCATCATAATCATCAGCATCAGCATCATTATCATCACCATCATCAGCAGCAGCATCATCATCATCATCATCAGCATCAGCAACATTAACATTATCATCAGCATTATTATCATTATCATAGATCATCTATATCATTAATATCAGCATCATCAGCATTGTGATCATAATCCTTATCATCTACATCATTAACACCATCACCATCATCATCATTATCATCATCAGTACCATCATCATTAGCATCAGCAACATTAACATTATCATTATCATGAGCATTATCATCATTATCAATATCATTAATATCAATATCATATATATGATGATGATGATGATGATGATGGTGATGATGGTGTTGATGATGTAGATGATGATATTGGGGCCAAGTCAACTGGGGCCGAGTAGACTTGGGGCCGAGTTGACTCAAATTCACGTAATCATATCATCTACATCATCAACACTATCATCATCATCATCATCATAATCATCATCATCATCATCATAATCATCATCATCATCATCATCAGTACCATCATCATTAGCATCAGCAACATTACATTATCATCAGCATTACATCATTATCATAGGTCATCAATATCATTAACATCAGCATCATCAGCAATATTCAACCCACTGTTGGCATACGCCTCCCCAGGCTGGCACCAGTTTCCTGTCACTTGCCTTTTCCATCTTCCTTATCAAGGTATGGAGTATCAAGGATCCCAAATACTCAGCTCTCTAATCCCCAGGCCTAATAACGAGACATGGTAGAGCATCAGACTTCACAGTACATATACTGTAACACCTTTAGCATTTATTAATGATGTAACAATCTGCTTTGAAAATTTATAAGTGAATTAAAATTTTTGCATGTTCACACATTTCTTGCAGTGTATACCGACACCATTGGCCTGGTACATGCATCACCTCCCGCAGTGGTTCAACGCACTTAGTACAGCAGTAGTCTATGTCATTGAGATCGTTCTGCCGTTTTTATTCTTTGCTCCAATACGAAACCTTCGTATTTTTGCTGCCATCATGCAGGTATAGTTGCTAATTTTTGTTATCTATTAATTAATTTATTAATTTATTAATTTATAATAATTAGTTAATTATAATGATAACATATTTCATTTGTAGTTTTAAAAAGTGCTATAGAAAAGTAATATACTACTAGGATAATGAAGTATATAAGATTAATTATAAAAATAATTAAAATAAATATGCTCCCTGTCAACGACGTGTGGGACCAAAATATGTTAAAAGCACACTTTAGGCATAATTTGACTAAAAAGGGAATATTTTGGTCATATTACAGTACAAAACTAAATGGTCTAAGAAAGCTTAAGATAATCCAAAATTTCCCAGTTTTTCTAGGTGCCAGGGGACTCCTGGGCCATCACTAGCGCTTTGCCTAAGACCACACTGGCCTCAATCAAAAATTGTTAGACACCATTTGGCCACTTCCACTCAGACTAAGACTCAGGCTTGGTTTATTGCATCCTTTTGCGGAAATTTGTTGCTCGTACATTGTTAAAACAATCAAAATTGGTTAAAATATAAAGATGTACTGTACAGTTTGAAAGACATGAAATTAGTTACGTTGAAAAGAGTTATTAAAGAAAGAGGAGACCGGTTGAATGTAAATAATACATCATAGAAATTTGTTGCTCATATATTGTTGAAAATATCAAAATTGGTTAAAATATAAAGATGTACAATATTGTTTGAAAGACAAAAAATAAGTTCTGTTTATTTAAGAGTTATACTGGTTGAATATAAATTATACATTGTAATAAAATACATTGTTAAAACTATTAAAATTGGTTGAAATATAGAGATGTACAATACTGTTCCTCCCCCTGTGGGGCAAATCCTACTGGATATCGCTGGGCTTAGAATGTCAGTTGTGATGGTAGTGCGTAAAGTGATTGTGATTACATTGTAGCATAGCTTTAAGAATGCAACACTCGCCTTCAGTAAACATTCGTTGCATATCACCATACATTAAGTTCTCTTTTTTCTTTTTTCTTTTTCTCCAGATAAAGCTGATGACAATAATATTTATGACAGGAAACTACAATTTTTTCAATATTCTGACTGTTGTACTTAATATTTCATTGTTGGATGATAGATTCTTTAGAAAAGAGGAACCAAAGAAGTCAAAGATTGGTATGATTTTTATTATAATATATTTATTTTTGTTTAACCATATTTATAGAGGGTGACCTTTCCAGCGTATCCTAGAACTTAGGTTGGCTGATATTCAGGGGCCCTCTTAAATATATGAAGTAATTTGATGCTGTTATCGACAACAAATCTTTTTAATTTAGTGAGTGGAGTTGTTTTTAGTCGTGAGAAGAAGTCATGCTGTTTACGGGAATTGAACTCAGGACCCTGGGATTAGGAGGCAAGCAACTGAACCACTAAACTATTCAACTCCACTCCTAATATATGTGACCCAAGCTCACAAACGGGCTGTAAACTCGTCCTCTGACCAAAATGAGCTTTTGTTATAATGGCATAGAACATATCATTTACTTTAAAATGACAGTTAAATGAACTCAATTGGGTGTCTGGAAGCAAAGTTTGAATAATTGCCATCTTATCAACTTTCTTAAATCAAGTTTTGAGAAATTTATTTTATTTTCAGCAGTTTTCTATTCATTTTTCATTAGCTCCCATCTGAAAATGGCTTAATTTTACCTCTCACAGTTGGAATTTTAAACTCAAACTTCAGGAATAGTAAGATTAATAGTTATACTTTATTTATTACACAAAACACCAATTCACACAAAATTCTCATTCTACGCACTATTCTGGGTATTGAGGCTTGTTTCTCAATACAGTTCAGTGCGAGTTGACAGCCCGTTTGTGAGCTTGGGTCACATATAACATATCTGGATGTTTAACTAAAATTTTCATTTTATTACACCCTTAAAAGTGTAATAAAAAAAAACTTTATAGGGCATTGTAAATTCTAATGTTATAGCAATAAACATTATTTAGTGCGTAATAATTCCTGTGTAAAGTTTTGACATGAGTTTACTTGCATCAATTTAGAATTTGATGTGTTCATTTTGAGGCCTCAGCTCTGAAATGGACGTTCTTATGTTAATGTCTCGTAAGACAAATCTTAAATCTGTGCTCAAGGGTTTCTTCGCTGAAGCACGAGAGTTCTTGAACCGTCTGCCTCAATCAATGGGATCTAAGCACGTGCACTGGGGTGCACGCCCCCCTCCCAAATGATTGTGACCCCCCACTTCCAGTTTCTCTCCGCAATTCAACTTCAAGTTGTTAAAAATCACTTCAAATCACCTTATATTGCTAGCTAATGCGTGCTACCTAATCATCGATCCCCCAGTTCACATTTGCTCCCCTCATCAGAGTCCCAACCATTTCATGCCTGCTAGATACGCCACTGGCCACAATCTTCAACCATTTCTCAATTTAAATCATTCATAAAGAATCACCTTTTTCCATAGTTGTTTTTATTACATCATTCTGTGAGACCTTGGTAAAGAGCGCTTTAGAAATGTTATCATATTATTATTATTATTATTATTATTATTATTATTGTTATTATTATTTATTGCTGCGAAGCAGCCAATTCATATTCTTGACAGCAATTTGACCTACTTATTATTTTGTGTCAATGCAAAGAATAATAAGAGTGCCACCAATGTATACCATCACTCTTGAAAAAAAAAACATTAATAATTTCATCAGGACACGTGTAACTACAATGTACTGAAACTTTATTTCATCACTCCTGCATAACATTTTATCTTGTGTGAATTGAGTAAAGCAGCTTTTTTTAATATAAATTTTTCTCTCTGTTCCAAATTGTAATGTAATCAGTAAATGTAGGATTTATACGTTTTCTTACCCTTTCATTTAGATTTTACAGAAGCTGGGTTCTTTAAAGCTGTTAGCAAAATAATGCCATTTACAATCCATATGGCAGTCATTTCCTTAATGTCAGAAATACTAGGAGCTTTTTATCGGTAAGATCATGATGCTGTCTCTTATACACATCTAGATGTGTATAAGAGACAGCTACTAGGTATGCCACTGGCCACAATCTCCAACCATCTCTCAATTTAAATCATTCCTAAAGACTCACCTTTTTCCATAGTAGTTTTTATTACATCATGCTGTGAGACCTTGGTAAAGAGCGCTTTAGAAATGTTATGATATTATTAATATTATTATTAATATTATTATTATTATTATTATTGTTATTATTATTATTTATTATTAATATTATTGAAATCCTGCTGTCAGAGAAATTGAACACAAGACCTGAGATTAGAAGGCAAGCATTATGACCACTAAGCTATACTAATATTATATTAATATAATATACAGGTAACATAATATTTTTAACTAATTCTTCCTTTTTCCGCAGGGAAAAATGAATTCACACGTATCTTGTCATTAGTGGTATCCTGCATTGTTTATTTTGCAATTCTTTACGGAACTATTTACTTTTTTGATTTGAGAATCAACACTTCAAAATATTCAATTGAAAGTCGAATCAGTAAGTAATTATTTATGCGTAACCCGTTTTTTTCATCCATTCCTTCTTTCATTTATTTATTTATCTATTCATTTGTTTGCTCGATTTTTGGTTTGTTTGCACACCTGTCTCTCCATCCATATTTTCATTCAGTTATCATTTGTTTATTTATTCATTTGTTCATCCATCTAGTATGTTCATTCATTGATTGTATCTATTAATTAGTGGTTAATATACAGGTCTTCTAATTTAAGACTCCTCCAATTACAGGCCATTATATTATTAATTCAAGGGAGACCTGTATTAATCTCTTAAAGTTTGGTTTGTGAATGCATAGAACTATCTATCTATCTATCTATCTATCTATCTATCTGTCTATCTGTCTGTCTGTCTGTCTGTCTGTCTATCATCTATCTGTCTGTCTATCTATCTATCTATCTATCTATCTATCTATCTATCTATCTATCTATCTATCTATCTATCTATCTATCTATCTATCTTAATTTATGTAAATCTGTATTGTAAATACTTAGAGCTGAATAATCTATTAATTGCAAATTATATTTTCTTTTTATAATGTTTATGTAATTAGATTTTATATAGTGCGACAAAGTCCCAACAAGCTCACCCTGCATGCAAGCTTTTTGTATTAATTTTGGTTATTACTTATTATTTTGTGTCAATGCAAAGAATAATAGAGTGCCACCAATGTATAGCATTACTCTTGAAAAAAAAAAAACATTAATAATTTCATCAGGACACGTGTAACTACAATGTACTGAAACTTTATTGCATCACTCCTGCATAACATTTTATTTTGTGTGAATTGAGTAAAGCAGCTTTTTTTAATATAAATTTTTCTCTCTGTTCCAAATTGTAATCAGTAAATGTAGGTTTTATACGTTTTCTTACCCTTTCATTTAGATTTTACAGAAGCTGGGTTCTTTAAAGCTGTTAGAAAAATAATGCCATTTACAATCCATATGGCAGTCATTTCCTTAATGTCAGAAATACTAGGAGCTTTTTATCGGTAAGATCATGATGTTTTCTTTGATAATATATTTTAGCAACATCCAGTAACAGATTCAAGGGTGCCCCAAGCTGGCCCGGGAACTGGACTATATTTTTCAAGATTTAAAAAAAAAAAAAAGAGAGAAAAAAGATATATTCAAATTTAAGTTTGAGTGCCATTTCTGGTCATCTAGATGTGCCGTAATCATAAATTTTCTTACCGCAGCCCCAACCAACCCCTGTGGGTCCCCTGTATTTCAAATTTCTGGATCCTTCACTGGCGTTCATCATTTATCCCCAAATGCTTGTCCAATATTTTCAGTATTCTGACTATAGTGGAGTCTCCGAAATACAAATGCCCAGAAAATAGTTTGCTAAATCATTCCTATTCTTCCTTTAATAAAATACTTTCCAAAAACCGGATCTCCCTATTCCGAATTCCGGATGTTTTATTCGGTCCGGAATACAAAAGTCAACTTTTACAAACCGAACAAGTAGTTAATAAACAACAATTTTCGGACGAAATAACGCAATAATCATTGCTGTCTAGGAATTAACAACTAGGCCTAGCAAACACCCTGTGAATGAACCGTTTGTACAGCTAGCTCAGTCCCAAGAGCATTGCCATAGAGACTATCTATTGTTTAAAACGGCAAGCCAGTATATCGTTAATGTTACATTAAGTGCAAGTTACGTCTTCCATTGTTGTAATAAAGTGCATATGGCCTTAGGCCTAATCTTTAAAATTTTATTGTGGGCTGGACAGTGGATATGTTTTTGTTACCATGGTCCCCAGCTCAATTCCATTTCCAATACAATGAAATATTAAAAATATAAAACACGAAAACTCTAAAGATTATAAAAAATTTTTATTTTCATTCCAGTATTGTATTAATTTATATAAGTATTTAACAATGAATGAATTAAGTATGTTTTCTTTCATTATTATCTTCATGCATTACTTTTCCAATTTGGTAAACCAGTTTAGTACTAAAAATACCTTTAGTACTGTAAAAGAAATGTCAAAATGGAAAAAGAACTATTTATAGGTCTGATATAGTGCCTTATGACCTGGCCATAATTATAAAGTTTATTATTTTATATTGCATTGAACAAAGACTTGGTTATACTGCTGTATACTCTATTGTTATTTAATGTATTAATCTATGTTTAATATTCATTTTAATATGAACAATAGTGTATTTTTAACTGCATAATTCAATTTTATGATATTAGACTAAATCAATAAATACATTTTTCTTTATTTCTATTCTTATCTGTTTTAAATATATTGCTTGCAGGTGCATTGTGCTAGAGAAGTCGTTGCTGAGTAAGTTGTGGTCAACGATGCAATGTGTTGCCATCTCAGCTATTGCAATATATATGTTCACAATAAGCTTAGTAAGTCAATTATGTATTCTGTAATAATATAGACAATGGCGTTTTACCTGGTATATAAACTTGCCTTCCAATTTCATGGTCATGTGTTCAAGTCCTGTCATGTGACAGAATTATTTTATCATGAACCAAAAACAATTTCACTCTCTCATAACGAGACAAGGTTTTTTTTAGAACATCCTGTGTAAAAGTTTGTATTATGAACTAGCTTGACACTTACAGTATGAGGGAGCTTTCGTTTGCAGGACGATTGGTAGGATGTAGAACGTAATAACGCTACTAAAAGTCATCTGTGCATGCGAGAACGTTAAGTTCTCCTCGTTGTGTGGATTCTAGGATGCAATTTGGCCAAATCTACAGTACAGAGAACGTAGGATGCCCAGTAGGAGAGGCACGCATGAATAATTCCGTTCTAGCGTTGCGTCGTCGTGCAAATTGAAAGCTCTCTACTATAGTATAAGACAGTGGTAAATCCATCTGCCTAATAAGTCTATAAATAGAATATTTATAATATGTTAAAAAATATTCTTTGAATATCAATGAAACAATATTAAATGTCACAACATTGTGAATAGATTGCTCTGATCGTTTTCAGGAGAATGAAAATAAACAAGTTTTATAATATAGAATTACGTTTTATATATTGTTTTATTTTAGAAGTTTTATATATTCTTTTGTTTTAGAAGTTTTATATAATTGTTTTGTTTTAGGAGTTTTATATATTGTTTTGTTTTAGAGGTTTTATATATTGTTTTGTTTTAGAAGTTTTTATATATTGTTTTTTGTTTTAGAAGTTTTATATATTGTTTTGTTTTAAAAGATTTATATGTTTTAGAAGTTTTATATATTGTTTTGTTTTTGAAGAATTTTTATATATTGTTTTGTTTTAGAATTTTTATATATTGTTTTGTTTTTTGGGTCCCTCTGAGACAAGTTTTTGACTTCTAGAAGGGATCCAAGATAACACTGAATTGATCTATTTTTCTGATCTGAACATTGTCATTACCAATACAGTATATGTTTGAATTTAAATTTAAATTAATTCTTTCATTATTATCTGAATAAATATATCTACATCTGAATATACTTTAATCTAATTCTTACGTCCCTTCTAAAAGTTAAGCTGTCCACCAGTGGTCAGGCAATTTTAAGTAGAGGTCTGCAGAGGTGGGGAGGGAGGGGGGCTTAAGCCTTACTTTCCCCTCCAGCTGTCACTGCCACGGCCTACTAGAAAAGGTGGGCTTGATACCTTCATACATATTTCAGTAATTCCAACATTTAATTTTTCTGGTTTGTGCACCAAAAATTTATTTTTTTTTTGTTTGTAGGTTCCACATACTGCTGTTGATAACACCGCTCAAAGGAATCTTTGGCCAATCGTCTCAGAATGGCACCAGCGTACCGATCACCTACAAATCACAAGTAGTTACGGACTCTTCCGACGGATGACAGGTGTAGGAGGTCGGCCTGAAATCATTATAGAAGGCAGACAAAATCATCAGTTACAATGGAAGGTAAAAACTGTATAGTCAGGGGTTTAGGTAGAAAAACGAAACAGGTTGTCCAGAATGGAAGACGAAGGACTTGTCGCGTAGCGACAGCTATGGGGCGTAGCTCTAAGCGGGGGTGTGTTTGTGAGGGGACACATACGGAAGAAAAAAAGTAGAAAATTATGACCATTAGAGCGCATTTAAAGGTGTGCAAATGTTGGAAATTTGTCGTCAAAGGAATAGTCTTGAATTAGCTATCACAAAGATATTTCAGTTATAGATATAGACTGCCCACAGCTACGGTTGTTTACTCAAATTATTTTTCTAGGCTATGCAGGTGCATCTTCATCTCTCGTCCTAGTCTAGTGTAAATTCTACTCTAGGTCCTCCGAATCGAGAGATGTATAGGCCTAGGCCTACTGTATTTTGCTGACTGTTAAAATGTAACTTGTAATGTTAACAACAAATCTTTTTCACGGTATTTTATGAATTAATTATAACCAGGAAGTTATGAACAAGAATAATATCTTGGGGAACCGAATCTGAAGAAGTACTGTATTTGAACTGTCCATTTTCCAGCAGGTGTAAATATGTTTTTAACACGACATACACGTGTTGTAAATTAAATTTTCACTCGGTAGACAATGATTTAACCTCACTGAGGCATTAAACTAAAATGCTTAATAGTTTAATGCAAAATTCGATAGATTCAAAGAATATAAAGAATTTGCTAAAGGTACACCAGGCCCAACTAGGCTAGGACAAGCTGAGTAGGCCAAGCCGTCACGGTAAAAATGGCCGTCCTAAATAATTATTGGCCGTCCAAAAGACGGCCGGACTGCTTGCTCGCTAAGCCCTTGATTCATGTACACATGTGTGGACAAGAAAATATTTGGTGTAATGGTCTGTCCAGATTATCAAATATTCTGTGATAAAAAATTGCTATGCCCATATTTAGTCATGAATTGCCTATATATGGTCATGATGTGATGTCATCATGACCATATTTTGGCATATCACATCTGGAATGGGCTTTATGCTAATAATAGAGTTAATGTGGATGATAATACTTACAGATGCCAATTCTAAGTTTGTTGCAATTTTTTTTTGTAGTTGGATCAAAAATACATTTACTAATTAATAATAAAAAATATTAAAGACATTCCATTTGTCTTAATTACTGTATACAGTAAGAATTTATTATTGTAAAAATAAAACATTTTAGCAGTCATGTAGAGGTGTTCTTTATTTCTGAATATTGCAAACAAATTTTTCTTCATAAATAATTGCAGGTTTTCGGTACGCCATGTGGCAAGTGCTACAAATCTGAAGGTATCTTGGTTCTGAGAAGAACCGTTTGTAATACTGTTTTAATCCAAACGGTTCTTCTCAGAATCAAGATACCATTAATTGAGATTTGTACCATATAAGCCACATGGTACACCGAAAACCTATAATTATTTATTAATTCACTTTACCGTGCAAAAATTTCATATTAACCTGCATCAAAGTATGTGTGCTTTATATCATTTTTACAAATACTTTTATCACTTGCTGGTTAGCAGTGCCATTTTCTAATTATGTTTTATTATTTCATGTAGGCATATGATTTCCTTTATAAACCGGGCAACTTAAGTCAACCGCCTCCATTTGTTGGTAAGTATAAGAATTTGGTCTTTATCTTTACTATGCAAGGCAGTTATTTGTACATTGTTATTATTTTACACATCCATTCACATTTTACCGATCTAGAATTATATTAATGGTATGGTATGGTATGGTAAAATCATTTGGCAGAGCGCCTTTTCAATGGCCAGTGATCATATATTTATATTGCGCCTTCCACGGAAAAAAACCGTCTCAAGCGCTTTTAAGCCACAAGAAACAAAAACCAAAATTAATTAATGAACAGGCGCGAATGCGAAGGGGACACGGGGATTTTTCCAGTGGATACAAATAAATTTGAAAAAGTCATGGTAATGAAAACAAGTAGGTTTTCATATTTCTTCTGACATCGTGAACAGATAAAGGGTTCCTTAATGCCTGTAGGAGGGAGTTCCAATGCTTCGGAGCAGTTGCAGAGGTGGCCATATCACCGGCACGTTTCTTTGTTCCAGGTGAGATTAGGGTGATGGCTGCACCATATCTTGTAGAGCGAGTTAGGGTGCACACTTCCAAACAGCCAGCTAAAGATGACGGCAAAGTGTTCTTCAGCAATTTGTAAATGAGTAGGAGTATTTTGAAGATTTACTTACTGTAAATTGAATTACTGTAGTGCCTGCAGGCGAAAACAAATCTAGCAGTCTTGTTCCGTAAGCGTTAGATTCTTCTAAGATCTTTTACATTTAATCCACCGTAAAGGGAGTTGCAGTATTCAAGACAAGGTAATATTAAAGCCTGTGCTGCACTATGAGATGTGTCCAGGTCGATGAAACTTCAGATGTGCCAACGGTTTCGGAGATGAAGATTAATGGTGGAACTTAATTTTGAGACTCGCTCTGTAATTTTTGAAGATTGATCGAAGATGAAGCCTAGGTTACGGACAGTTTTAGATGACTTATTAATACGTTTCCTAAGAGAATCATGACAAGATGCTGCAGTGAGAGTTGACGAGGCGAACCAGTGAGGCGAAATTTTGTTGTACTAAATATTTATTAGTATGCGATTTGTATTTATTTTGCATTCATTTACTTGGTAAAAATCAATAGTAATTTACAGTCGGTCTCAATATCTATTGATTTTACCTAATAATTTTGCATCTTATTTTTATTGACTTACCTTATGTTCTGCATTTTATGGATATATATATTTGTAAGAAAAATAAATTACTACTGAATTGTATGAAATTATTTTAATCATAATAATATTTATTAGTATGCAATTTGTAATTCTTTCACATTAATTTATTTAGTAAAAATCAATAATAATTTACAGTCGGTCTTAATATTTATTGATTTACCTTATAGTTTATTGTTTTGCATTTTATGTTTGTTATTTGTAAATAAAATAAATTACTATTGAATTGTGTACAATTTTATAACTACAGCACAATATCTATTCAGTATAATAGTATAAAAATTTTTATACCTAAATTTGGTAAGGGGTGCTGCATATTAGTGTGCAGTTTTTTGGTTTTTTTTAATAAATAATACGGCAATTATTACACCCGGTCATTATCAAGCACATATTTTGCATATGTTTGTTATTGCTAAGGAAAATAAATTACTATTGAATTGTATACAGTTTTGTAACTACAGTACAATATCTATTCAGATTATAGTATAAACTGTTTTTTATATCTAAATTTGGTAAGAGGTACTGTATATTAGTGTGCAGTTTTTTTTTTATACACTAAATAAAATACAAGTACTGTATATTTACTTGTACATTTTTCTTTGCGTTAATCAGTGTGAATTTATGCACGTGACCAAAAAAAAATATGGCCGATTGGTCAGTTTAGCAACAACATTTGCGTTAATATAAGTTAGATTAAATTTCAGAAAATAAAAGTTATAATATTTACCCACATTGAAGTCAAAAAATAATTGTAGGCTAACATAATTCAAAAACTGGATAATACATTTTTTTTACGAAAAACCCATACTGCCACTATTCGAAGCAGCCTTGATTATACGCAGCGTGTATCGCGGTAACTATGCAGCCATTTTGTTTTGTCGAGTATTTGCCTGTTTTCTGTTCGACTGGTCATCTTCGTTAAGTAGGATTTTACCACCGTGCAGGTGGGCGTGGTTTAACAAAGAACGACTAGTCAAGTAGGCAATTCTTCCACATTAATTTATTTAGTAAAATTCAATAATAACTTACAGCCGGTCTTAATATTTATTGATTTACCTTAGAGTTTTGCATTTTATGTTTGTTATTTCTAAGGAAAATAAATTACTATTGAATTGTGTACAGTTTTATAACTACAGTACAATATTTATTCAGTTTATAGTATAAACTGTTTTTTATATCTAAATTTGGTAAGAGGTACTGTATATTAGTGTGCAGTTTTTTTTTTATACACTAAATAAAATACAAGTACTGTATATTTACTTGTACATTTTTCTTTGCGTTAATCAGTGTGAAGTTATGCACGTGACCAAAAAAATACATGGCCGATTGGTCAGTTTAGCAACAACATTTGCGTTAATATAAGTTAGATTAAATTTCAGAAAATAAAAGTTATAATATTTACCCACATTGAAGTCAAAAAATAATTGTAGGCTAACATAATTCAAAAACTGGATAAAACATTTTTTTACGAAAAACCCATACTGCCAATATTCGAAGCAGCCTTGATTATACGCAGCGTGTATCGCGGTAACTATGCAGCCATTTTGTTTTGTCGAGTATTTGCCTGTTTTCTGTTCGACTGGTCGTCTTCGTTAAGTAGGATTTTACCACTGCACACGTGGGCGTGGTTTAACAAAGAACGACTAGTCAAATAGGCAAATTCTTCCACATTAATTTATTTAGTAAAAATCAATAATAATTTACAGTCGGTCTTAATATTTATTGATTTACCTTAGAGTTTTGCATTTTGTGTTTGTTATTTCTAAGGAAAATAAATTACTATTGAATTGTATACAATTTTATAACTACAGTACAATATCTATTCAGTTTAATAGTATAAACTTTTTTATACCTAAATTTGGTAAGAGGTACTGTATATTAGTGTGCAGTTTTTTTTTTATACACTAAATAAAATACAAGTACTGTATATTTACTTGTACATTTTTCTTTGCGTTAATCAGTGTGAAGTTATGCACGTGACCAAAAAAAAATATGGCCGATTGGTCAGTTTAGCAACAACATTTGCGTTAATATAATTTAGATTAAATTTCAGAAAATAAAA